TGATCATGTCGAGCTTGAATGATTCTACATGCAACCTAAACTACATAGAGTTGCAAAGAAACTTAGCCATTGGCTAAAGAAAATCACAAGTGCTTCTTTTGATATATCTTCTAAGTCTGCCTTACAAATACAACATAGATGGCTTTATATAGCCTCAAAATGAAACTATTAAAGACATTCCAAAAGTCGTAACATTCACACTTTATAGCCATAATTAGCCATTATGTAAATGTAACCGAAATTAAATAAAAAGTCTTAAAATACAATAACTCTAAATTATAACTCACCCAAAATTTACAACAATCAAACTTTATTCTTCTTCAATGTAGCATGAATTGAAACATCTTTTGATAATTTTGACAATCTTTTCTTCACATCTTCATTGAAGCATATTGTATGATTGATGTCTCTTGGTTCATATCAAGGAGTGGCTTGTATAGACGAAAAAGAATGATGCAACTGACTCTTCTTTTTTAGATTCGAGCGGACATGGCAACCATAACAAGAAAAAAAAAGGTCGTGGATGTGGCCTCAGATGTGGTGGCAGGTCGTGACAATACCTCACAAACCCATGAAAATGCCAACTTTTGGAGGACAAGAGTATGATCAAGTGTTACTCTTGTGGAAAATACGGGATGCGGCAGAGTGCCGCAACAAGGAGTGTGATGTGGAGGCAAACCTCATGTTCACTGATGATAAAGAGCCCACATTGATGTTGGCTGAGAAAATGCCCAACATGTTGATGCTCAATAAAGAGAAGATTATGACAAACCCCTTCATAGATGGAGAAAGACCAAGTGGAGACTAGCATGTGATACCTAGACAACGAAGCGAGCAACCACGTGACCAAAGATCGAACAAAGTTCAAGGAGCTTGATGAGAAGTTCACTGGAAATGTGAAGCTTTGTGATAGATCATTGTACCGATCCAAGGCAAAGGATCTATTTTGTTTCTGTGTAAGAACCGTGATCAATGTCTATTCACCAAGGTGAATTACATCCGACGAGCAATATTATTAGCCTTGGTTAAATGACAGAATAAGGTAGCAAAGTGAAGATAGTCGACTCGTTCCTCAAAATATATGATAGAAACGAAACTCTGTTGATGAAGGTAAAACAGTCACGAAACCACATATCTAAGATACTATTGAAAGACCATCAACATCTTCCAAAAGTATCTATTGGCGTTGAAAACAAGAAAGTAAAGAAGAAATCAATGGATCGGGAGAAAAAGGAACTGAAGAATAGCCAAGAAGAAATCAAATGTTATTATAATCAGTGAAGAGCAACCTACATGATAGTGTGTTTCATTAAACTTGTCATCTCAACCACGTAGGCCTAGATCAAGGCCACCAGAGAGAAAAAAATGAGACTTAAAACTAATCATCTCAACCAAAGAAGCCCGGAGGTAGACCTAAAAAGAAGTTTGAAAAGCAAAAAGAGTAAGTTACAAGAAGTTTGTACATGTGCTGATGATGAATTTTTTTTGGAGAAAGCAGTGGAAGAAATTGCGCAGAATTAAAATTTCTTCTGAATAAGACAAAGTTGATCGAGGACCAAGAAGGACAAAAAAAAAAAAAATATTGAAATTAGAAAGCAACGTGCCAAAATTCTCATGAAGAAACTAACCAGAGTTAGATTTGCATGTATGCTAGAGTTGCTTGAATAATTATTTAATAATATTATTGACTCGAATAAGTTAAAAGAAATTATTAATCTCTTGTCAAAGTAGAATTGTCCTTATTTGTGTGGAAAATTTAAAAAATTTGTTAGTGACTTCTCCCCTATAAATACCCCTACCCCTAGAGGTATATTCTTCTCACAACAACAAAACAGAATTAAAGGGCCTCAAGGTTCTCCTGTTCAAAGATCTCTCTCTTCAAACAGTTTTTTATGCTTAAGTTGTTTATTTTGGCATATTTCCACAGTGAGTTATATCCAACCTTTAGAAGAGAAATGGAAGTGGAAGAATTGAAGAAGATGATGGAAGAAGTGCAAGGCATGGGGGAGAAGGTAGAAGCCAAAGTGAATTACTATGACACCAAATTACACACCATCATTGTCGCTTATTTCGTTTGGGAACGTGTGTTCTTCTTCGGTATCTCCAAGAAGACGTTTCCTTCCACCATTTCTACCCTCAGCTGCAATGGAAACTGGTGGGTTATTCTTGCTTTGAGTTGTTCATGCAGCTTCGTTTACGTGCTACTTTTTTTCGACGCTGCTCTCATGCTCTACCGCCACGAAAATCAACTCCATCTCATTCTCCAAAAACATGCTCAACTTTGCCGACATCTCTTGGCAATCAAAGAAGAACAAGCTGACACCAAAGCTTCTTTAATGGAGGCCGGAGATGAGGCCAGCCATGGGTTGTCGCTTGAGGAGGAATTGATGCTCATAAACTCGACCTCAGCATTTAGGAGGAGGCCTTGGGAGAGGAAAGTTTACGTGTACACCATCTTTTGTGCTTTGATTGGCGTTGCTTCTTTAGAACTATACGCCTGCAAGGCTGCGCTCTGCCCTTGAACTCCCCAGTACAACCTCTACGTCTCTTGTTACTTGCATAAAAGTTTGATATTAAGTTATTGTACGTGTGCTATCTATACCTATTTCATACTCTTGTTCTTTTTGTTGTTGGTTTATGTAATAAAATCATATATAATAAATACAAATAACATTTTAAAATTACATGTTCGATGTGTGATATTGGAACTTTTTTTTATATTTTTCAGACATGGGAGGGAGTGCATTTGATCTTTCATGTTAAGAATAAGAAATAGAAATAGAATTTGAGAAATAGAAATAGAATTGGGATGGAAAGTATGATCTTATTCAAGTTTAAAACGTTGAAATAGGATACAAACTATCAACTAATCTCTAAAATTGGGGGAAAATATATATCTAGCTGTAAATAAGATAAAATATACTGCTAATCAAATCTTAACTTAAAATATACTACTAACATCCCAACAAATAAAGAAAAAAATATTAAGGATATTTAGGAATATACTCCATAACTAATTATTAAAATATATTATCCAAATATCATATCTTGATATTTCACCTCATCTTTGCTTATGGAATTGTCTACGACAGCCACTCACACTCATACAGATCAAATGACAAGTTCACATATTCAAAAAATTCGTAACTCTCTCAAAATTAGGATCGAGTGGTATTTGATTATTCTATTAATATTAATATTCTTAAGATTAAAAGTGTGTAGATTATAGTTAAAAATAATCAACTAATGAATTGAGAATGAAATTGGGGCAAAAGTCAGCATAATCTCATTGACTTGTGGATAAAGAATAATAAAAATCCTATAATAAAAAAATACAGATTTATGTAATTAGCAACTGGCGCAAAGCTCTTCCAAAGGCCAATGTCCCTCCTTTAGTAAAATATTATATAATATTTTATATAATCTCGTTAAGCTCATTATATAATATTTTATTTTAATAATGGAGAAATATTTTATAATCTCGTTAAGACAGCCTTCCAAAGGCCAATGTCCCTCCGTCAACAAGTCTATGAGGCGGGGCGGGAGCGGGAAGGCTGTCTAATCATTTGACGATGAAACCTAATCCCATTGATTTGTGGATAAAGAAAAATAAAATATTATATAATAAAAAACCACCGCTTTATTTAATTAACAATTCACGTACTACTTATTTTTAAACGCCAATGTTTCTCCCTTCCCACTACTCCTAGAGATTTCCACAAACTGCGGCTGGTACCGAGAAATCTTTCATATTCTCATCTTTGCCATCTATTTCATTATCTCTGTGAATTATTATTTTTTTAAAAAAAATAGTTATTTTAAACTTTCTCATTTTTCAATACCGTCTTTTGTTAAAAAATTGGTAAAAATTTCTATTAAATCAATCTATTTTATAATTATCTTCTATAATACTGTAACATATTTTTAAAAATTAAAAGAAAAGCTATCAAATTAAAGTTACATTTTAGTTATATATTTATTTTTTTAGTATATATATATATTTTATATGCATTGAAAATATATTTTTATTAGACTAAACGAGCAAGAATTTGGATGGAGACGAAGATGGAGACCGTAAATATAATCTCATCCTTAGTCCCAATGAAAAAATATTCATCACTTCCTTCTCATTCAAAGTCTAAATGAAAAATCTACTCGTAGTCTCAAACCCATCACTGCTTACACCATCCAAAAAAAAGGGAGGAATATTGGAATTTGGTTGGCCAAGGGATGGCGTGTTCACGCTGACGTATTTCCACTTGGTTTCTTGTCTGGCAAGAAACTCTCCGCCGCCATTTAGTGACACGTTGTCTTCTTAATTTTTATTTATTTTTTTAGTTATTAAACTGTAAAACTCCCATCCACGTTTCAAAATCTATCTGAATTTTCTAATTTCTATATAAAATTCTTTCTTTATTTATTTTTATAAAGATTAAAATAAAATAGGCAAGTATATATCTAATTCTTTGCAACACGACCATGGTTAGTGGAACCTAAAACCTAATTATCCTTGAGCTCCATTTCTTTTCGGGTATAATTGAATATGCAATACTTCTCTGCACACAACTCATGCACTTTGCATATAGAAACGATAGACGAGCATTAGTATGATACTCCCTAAATCTGATTATAGGCACACGTACATTCGCACAACTCAAACTAGTGGAGAAGAAAAGAATGTGAATGGTAAATCATGACTATACGCGGTTGAGGTAGCAAATTTCTGTTAGCTATTTTTTTCTTGTTATTAGTGGAATCAGTTGAGTCGTGTCCTTTTTCGTCTTTTCTGCATTTCATATATTTTTTTTCTATAAGGCATTGGACCTGTGAATAAAGAATGAACATTTTTGGTACATTTGACAAGTCTATGTAATTTACCGCTATCATTTGGTATTAGAACTAAAGCAAAACAAACTGATCCAAGAGAGAAAATGAACAACGACAAAACACTCACCAAGATTCCATAGTTTGATGGTCAGTATGACCATTGGAATGAACTGATGGAAAACCTCTTGCGTGCCAAGGATTTGTGGAGTCTAGTGGAAGAGGGTTACACCAAACCGGTAGAGGGAATCGAAGTGACTGCAGCACAGAAAAGGAATCTTGAGGAGTTCAAGACGAAGGACCATCAAGTGAAGCACTACCTGTTCCAAGCAATTGATCGGGTTGTGTTTGAAAAGATCTTGAATTGCAAAATATCCAAGAACATTTGGGATTCGATGAAGAAAAAGTTCGGAGGCAACGAAAAGGTGAAGCGGTCTCTTCTCCAAACTTTAAGAAGAGATTTTGAGGTTCTTGAAATGAAGAGCGAAGAAAACATCGATGATTATTTTGGAAGAGTAATGACTGTCTCCAACAAGATGAGTAGCAACGGAGAAGACATGTTAGATTCAAAGATTGTTGAGAAAATACTTCGAACTCTGATTAACAAATTCACATATATGGTGGTGGTCATCGAGGAGTCAAAAGACATAGGAAAGATGATGATTGACGAACTACAAAGCTCTCTATCCGTACATGAAAAGAAATTCAAAAAGATCAGTCATGAAGAAGGTGATCAAGCTCTCAATGTCAGAGGCAGAGGTAGAGGATCATACAGAGGTCGAGGCAGGGGCAGAGGACGCTCATTCAACAAAGCAACAAGCAAGTGTTACAACTTGGACATTTCCAATATGAATGTCCAATTGGGTACAATGGAGCACATTTTGCAGAGATCGAAGAAAAGGATGAAGTTATTCTCATGACATGTGGAGGAGCTTCAAGGCACTAAAAGAGGAGATGTGTGGTTCGTGGATTCTGGGTGTTCAAACCATATGTGTGGAGAAAGAGGTATGTTCTCAAGCTTGGACACTAGCTTCACACATAATGTCAAGCTTGGGAACAATCACAAACTGATGGTTGGTGGGAAAGAAGTAGTGAAAATAATACTTAAGGGAATAAGCTATGTGATCAACGATGTGTATTATATTCTGGAATTGAAGAACAACCTGCTTAGTGTTAGATAACTTCAAGAAAGGGATTTAGACGTGCTATTTAAAGGAGGAGATCAAAATACATGTAGCATTTTTCATCCCTCAAGAGGTAAAATAGCGGAATCTGTTATGAGTGCTAATAGGATGTTTATCGTGCCGGGTGAATCAAATAAATCAAATAACAAAAGGGAGGAGGAAGAGATTGAAATAAAAAAAACAACTTAAGAAGTACGAAGAGGACACCGAAAGAGATCAACGTCGCAGACAGCGGGAATAAGCTGAATAAAAAAAGAGACTTTCTGTACTAAAGCAAGCATCCATAATGGAGCGTTTCCTTAAGAAAGCCAAACCTAGTCCATCATGTCATTATCCAACTACTGAATTGACTGCATCAGTTCCATTGAGTAAACAGAGTGAAAACATGCGGGAGGCTTGTACGAAGTTCATGGACTGCACTTTTTCTTCAAGCAATGCGATCAATTAGGTTGATATTCGTAAGCTGCATTTATCTTCTTGGCGCTTCATAGGTCATTCAGTTCGTTCAAGAGAAAAGAATCACTGGGGCATTCGTCAGAAGCCGAAGCCAAAGTGTGATCTATTTAAGGAACTTAAACTGTCAAATGGTAGAGAATTTGCTAATGATGGTGAATTGGGTGAGGAGAGGCTGGTAGATGGTTGGGAAGAACAAATATTAGATGATAGAACCAGCCACAGAGTTCTGCAGCAGTTTGCCTCATGTCAGTAAGTTGAACAGGGGGAAGGGGAAGCAGTTGTTGCAGTTTTCAAAGAGCTATAGGCATGCTTTTTATGGCATTTGGTCTACAAAGAGTCATGTTGTTGGACCACGCCATCCATTTAGGAAGGACCCAGATTTGGATTATGATGTTGACAGTGATGAAGAATGGGAAGAGGAGGATCCTGGTGAAAGCCTCTCAGATTGTGATAAGGATGATGAAGAAAACTTAGAAGAGGAAGGTTGTGCAAAAGCGGAGGATGATGACGACGGTGAAGATGGATTTTTTTGTCCCTGATAGATATCTCTCAGAAAATGAGGGGTGGAACATGACAGGATGGAAACTAATGATGTTGATGAGCTCAAGAGCACACCTAGCTCTACGCAAGATATGGAGGGCAAAGAACTTTGTAGTTTGTTTAAACAGCAAAAGCATCTCTACAACATGACAGAGCTTGCACTTAGAAAAAATCAATCATTGATTGTATTAAATTTATTGCATGAGAAGAATATTCAAAGGATATTCAAGAAGTCGCAGGACTTCAGAAATGAAAACAAGCGATGGATGCTGAGATACAGTCCATCGAGTGGAACCACACGTGGTCGCTGACTGCACTTCCCGTTGGAGCCAAGGCTATTGGGGTTAAGTGGATTTACAAGACCAAATTAAATGAACTTGGAGAGGTAAACAAGTTCAAAGTTCGGCTGGTTGTAAAAGGGTATGTTCAAGAGTACGGAGTAGATTAAACAGAGGTATTCGCACCAGTGGCTCGAATGGATACAGTGAGAATGATCATTGTTGTAGCTGCACAAAAGGGATAGGAAATCTATCAGCTCGATGTCAAATCTGCTTTTCTATTTGGTGAGGTGAAGGAAGATGTATTTGTTGAACAACCACAAGGTTATAAAGTAGCAGGGAAGAAGGACATGGTTTATAAGCTGCAAAAGGCTCTTGACAGACTAAAACAAGTGCCTAGAGCTTGGTTCAGTCGCATTGAGACTTATATCGTCAAGGAAGGTTTTGTAAGTAGCTCTAGTGAACAAACATTATTCATCAAATAAAAGGGAGGTAAAATTCTAATTGTGAGCATTTATGTTGATGATCTATTGTTCATTAGTAATGATAAGAAGTTGTTGAATGAGTTTAAGCGCTCCATCATGGATGAATTCGACATGACTGATTTGGAAAAGATGAGATATTTTCTTGGCATTGAAGTGATGCAGAAGGCTGATGACATCTTTATATGTCAAAGAAAATATGTTGCTGAGTTGATCGAGAGGTTTGGGATGCAAAATTACAACTCCGTTTGCAATCCGATAGTCCCTGAACAGTAGATTGGCCGAGATGAAGCTGGTGTGAAGGTCGATTCAACGCTATATAAGCAAATGGTGGGCAGCTTAATGTATCTCACAGCCACACGACCTGACTTGATGTTTGTGGAAACTCTGGAATTTGGGATATGGTATCAACTTGAAGGGAAGAGTGAACTCTTAGGCTACACTGACAGTAACTATGCAGGAGATGTGGATGACAGTAGGAGCATTTCAGGCTATGTTTTCTTAATGAGTGGAGGAGTTGTGGTATGGTCCTCAAGGAAGCAACCAATCGTCACGTTGTCAACTACTAAAGCAGAGTATGTAGTAGTAGCTACATGTGCCTATCAAGTTATCAAAAATGCAGTCATGCATGGAAAGTCAAAGCACATAAGGGTTCGATACCATTTTCTCAGAGAATTGACAAAGGAAGGTGTAATTAAATTGGTCTATTGTGAGGAGCAACCGGCCGACATAATGACAAAGCCTTTGAAGATGACATCATTTCAAAGGATCAGAGAAGCGTGCTATGAACTAAACTCTTGATCGAGTTCAGTTCAAGGGAGGAAGTGGTGAGGTAGCAAATTTCTGTTACCTATTTTTTTTTTTTTGTTAGCAGTGGAGTCAGTTGAGTCGTGTCCTTTTTTCGTCTTTTTTTTTTTTTTGTTGTATAAAAAACATTAAACCCTATGAATAAATAACGATCATTTTTTGTACATTTAACAAATCTCTGTAATTTACCACTATCATGCACGAACAAATAAATTGTGACTAGTACTTCATAAAACTTCCACTTCCAAGGCCTCCTCCTATACGCTGCATTTGAGTTTATGGGCATCTATATATCTTCTTTCTGCCATCCATAGCCCACATTTGTAGAATTTTGTGTTGTCCACGTGACGTTGAGGGACCTGACCGCCGCATGCTTAAAATGTATATGGCCAAGAATGCAAAGGACGTTAATGGTTGATTGCATGCCCGTCTGGGCAATCACCCACAGTGGGCAATCCCTTTTGACTTAGTGTAGAAGGATGCAAGAGTCGGTTAACAGCGTGGCCACAAGCTTGTGAGGAAAGACAAGATTTGGCTCTATTTTTTTTTTTTTAATTTAATATAAATATTCTAAATTTCAATCAATTTTGGCAATTTCATTCTTTTTCATAGTTTCTAAAAGCTTCCCACTGACCTAACCTTTTTATGTGAAAACATTGGCTTAAAATCATTCGGCTTATATGTTTGTTTGTGTTAACCGTTTTTAAGAAAAACAATAAAATAATCAATGTGAAATATAAATAAATCAAGGAGAAGATTGAAAACGATGTCCTAATCTAACCTAAGATCTACGAAAATAAAATGCAACTACCCTAACATAAATTCCATAGTCTTCAACGCAATGCCACCATCATCCACACATGAGTGTCTTGCCTTTACCTGAAATATAAGAGTAATATATGACTTGAGTATTTTAAAAAATACTTGGTAACCGACCCCACTATTGAGCTCATGGAATGCAAACACATGTAACATGAATTAGGCTTACGAAAATAAAATGCAACTACCCTAACATAAGTTCCATAGTCTTCAACGCAATGCCACCATCATCCATACATGAGTGTCTTGCCTTTACCTGAAATATAAGAGTAATATATGAGTTGAGTATTTTAAAAAATACTTGGTAACCGACCCCACTATTGAGCTCATGGAATGCAAACACGTGTAACATGAATTAGGCCTATCATTTAAACTAGGGTCGTGCATTTTTTAGGCACTTTAATATTATTAATATAATGTAATGATACATTGCAAATAAATTTTCATTCCAACCTTTTATTACGTATAATTTGGCCTAGAAATGAATTGTCCTTGCCTAATACTATTATTTACTCCTAAGTTGGCAATAAACTCTAACGAAAAAGTTTATCGAAATAAATTCTATAAAAACAACCTCACTCTTTTAACAATTTTTGGGTCGATGGGACAACTCTAGCAGCAAAGAAAAAACACCTCTCCCCGATGAGATAGCCGAAAGCAATGTTGTGGGGTTTACTCTCGAAGTCACGAAGCCTTGGTTCTTGACATTAGCAGCAGCATTGAACGCTCAAAATTCCTCTCCAGCCCTTCAACCTCCATGGCCATGCCAATTGGAACCCTTAAACTATTCGATTGGAGGAAGATTTGGCGTTGTAATCGACTATATAGGCTTCGAGAAACATTGGGTGCAGGAACTAAGATAGCTCTAATGGAGTTTCGTTGATTTCTCCACAAAAATCGAAAAATTAATTCTCGTTACGACTCAGGTGCTACAAATTATTACTTCTTTAAAAGCTTTCATCTCCGAAAATTGTTTATTTCCAGTTGCCAGTATAGAACATTCTCGTGTTCATCTTCCTTTCTCAAGTTGTTACGTCATCAAATCGAAGCTTGCAACAAACTTGTGTGACATGCTATTATGAAATTTGATTTAAGATATAAAGTGGGTTGTTGAATATTATATAGATGTACTTGTTAGAATTTTTTCCCTTATTTTTTAGGAATTGGTTGGTAGTATATTTTATCTTATCATAATTTAGTAGTTGATAGTATATCTTCTCTTATTCTTAGGAGTTAGTTGATAACTTGTATTTTATTTAAATGTTGTGATCATGAATGAAAATCACACTTCGGATCTCACTTTTGTTTCTTATTCTTAGCATAGCATCAGAGCATGTTCTTGGTGTTCTTAAATATCAAAATTTCCTTTATTTCTTTTAATGCAGAATCACCCAAATCCAGTTTCAAAACTTCGGATGTTGATTTTGCGCATCTTTATTATATTCATCAAACTCGTTTCAATCAAACTAAATGGGATAAATTACCAATCCTATAGTAAATCGGTTATGCATTCTGTTATTGCCAAAAAGAAAATTGGCTTTATTGATGGCACAATCGAAGAACCATCTCAAGATGTAAATTCAAAAGAATTTGAACTTTGGAATCAGTGCAACAACATGATATTATCTTGGTTTACTCATTCAATTGAAGCAGATATCGCTGAATGTATTATTCACGTCAAGACAGGTCATCAAGTGTGGGCTGATCTTCACGATCAATTCTCACAAAAGAATGCTCCAGCAATTTTTTAGATAAAAAAGTCTATAACAATAATGTCAGAGGAACCATGACACTGTCAGCATATTTCACCAAGTTCAAAGCACTCTAGATGAATTGGAAGTGCACCGCACACCATTACCTATAATCAACGTCAAATACATGTTGATCAACGAGAAAGAGACAAGTTGATACAACTACTCATGAAGCTCAATGAGTCTTATAAAACTGTGAGATCTAACAATGACTCTATTACCTAACGTGAGACAAGTCTATTCATTACTTATGGTATACGTCCTTCTTCTTTCTTCTTATTCTTAATATCTCGCCTCGACCACCTGTTCAATCAGTCAAAGGTTACGGTCAGGTAATAGGGGTTCCGGATTTCATTCATAAGGTAAATAGGAGAAGAGGGAAGGGAATATCGTATAAGGTTCATTCGCTTCGCTTAATCTCATTTGTTGAGTCTGGAAAGAATCATCCTCCTGTTTACCATATATATATATATATATATATTAGTGAAGGAGACATAGTTGAACTTTCATTTATTTTTTTTGGAAAAGAAAACTAATATTTTATACTAATTCTACTATTTACTAAATAACCGACCTACACATTTCAAATTCTTTATTCTTCTTTAGAAAGGCATTCTAACTTAATGTTTTGGTAAATATGTTGGGAATTTGATCACTCATTCAACCATCACAACAGGGCGACCTAAATTTGTACTTAAATCTCTTGCTTAGCTCATACATGGAATATACTCTTTAAAACGACATCGTAAAATAACATAAATTTTGAACAAATTAAAAACATCTTCAACTTTAAAAACACTGTCATGGTCTCACGTATTCTAACACATAACACTGAAAAATAATTAAAACAAATACGAAATAAATAAAAATAACTTAAAATACAAGACAACTTATTCTAACTTAAGATTAGGAATTTAAATATGCATCTACCTATGTATGTGTCATGGTCTCTGCTCGCGATTTCGCCATCATCCATAAATAGATGTCTTGCCTTTACCTGAAAAATGATGTAGCACAAGTTGAGTATTTTGAAGAATACTTAGTAAGTGACCCACTACTGGGGACATGCTAAATGCAAACACATGCAAATATGCTCTAGAAACCTATCTTTATCTCATATTGGGGGTGGCCTCCAGTCCGGACTAGTTATGGATGTGCAATACTTCCATACACACGATCCACACGTGCAAGTGTAAATCTCCAAGCGTGTCGCACCCCTCTGGACCCATCATCGTTGAGTTAGTTGTCCTTAGCGAGTCCGAAGGTCAGTAGACACTTGAGTATCATGCTCAACATGATCACTATTATCATCATACTGTGCGCGTCCGCACTCATCTTCATAAAGAGAAAGTATCACAATGTTTATGTACACACAACATGCATGAGATCCCTCTAGTTCTCATCTTAAACATCTTTCCGACACAACCCTAGTCTCATCTCTATATTACGTTTAGTAATACATGCTCATTAGATATTTATATTAGTATTGTTATTCATGCTCTTAGGGTAGTGTTCTAGGTCGATCTCTCGACATGATGCAACATGATATTCATCATCATACAACATGCTTAATATGGAAAACATCATCATATTCATGTAAACGTCATGCAAAACATCATAGTCATCATAATGCCATTACATGCATCAAGCACATCAAACATCGTCATACATCATCATATAATTTACGTACGACATCATACGATACAACTCATACATCATACATCAAGAAGTTCATGTACGTCATCACAAGTCATCATATATCGTCATACAACACATCAGTTTATCCTATAGTAAGCAACTTACTTGGTTGGCCTTAGTCGGCGTTCTCCCTAATTATTATACGTTAGCTCTCGTTCCTTGAGAGCTGCTCCAAATGTTGCCAGGATTTGTTTTCTATCATACGTTCATCACTTTTTGTTAGTATTTCACAAAATAAAATTAATCCAACTGACATAGGTAAAATAAAGCACTAAAACGGCACCAATTATCTTAATCGGGACTGAAAGCAGGTTCGGGAGGGCTGAAATGGTTGAAAATGACCTTAAAAAGAAAACTCGAGCCGAATAAGCCGAGGAGCCGCCGGAAGCCGAGCCAAGCCGTCTAAGCCGACTAAGTCGAAGGGCTGTTTGCGCCGCGGGTCGACATGCGGCAGGCCAGGAATGGTTTACTTTGTGTGTAGGCGTCTCGGGTCGAGGCGCGGTTCGGATCAGCTCGCAGGTCGCACCGGGTCAAGGCGCTGCAGACGTGTCTCGGTTGTAGGCTGGGCTGCGGGTTGCGTGGGCTGCAGGTTGGGCTACTGGGCCGAGATAGGTTTGGGCCTCGGGTTGGAGGTTGGACTGGCGACGCGGGTTGCAGGCATGTTGCGGGTCACGTGTACGGGTCGCTGCCGCTAGACTGGGTCGAAGTCCGCGTTGGATCCGATTCAAATCCAACCCAAATCCGACCCAAATCCAGATCCATCGGAAAATTGTTGCAGGTGCTCGGAGAAGTCTGGGGGTGTTGGCTGAAGGTTGCTTGGCGATCCGAGGAGTGCGTCGTTGTGTGGAGCACGGAAATTCCAGCGGTCATTGGAATTTCCACGTCCTCGGACGACTTTGACATTTTTTTTTTTTTAATGAAGAGAGTATTGATTTGTGACTGTTAGACGAACACGAGAGGCTCGATTCCTTTGGAGTCTTAGTCATTGAGGAGACTTGACTCTGATACTATGTTAGACGAACACGACTCTCCACAATGGTATGATATTGTCCACTTTGAGCATAAGCGCTCATGGCTTTGTTTATAAACTCATGATCATTCCTTAAATTAGCGGACGTGGGACTTTCATCATCCAACGGTGACTTGAATGGACAACCACCCTTCTCTACATGCTACACATACATGTTATTATCAATTTAAACTTAAACTCAAACCAATTGGATGAGCCGAGGAAAGAGTGTGACGCGCTGGAATGAAGGTTGTGATGTTGTAGTAAAAAGTGGAAAGAAGCATCTCCAAATATCAGAAGTATTTAGATGCTACATGAAACATCTCAACATTATATATATCTCCTTCAAGCCAAAAGGCACTTGCGCTCACGTTTGTTTTGATGTTTGATATATATAGTGTTGCAACGTTCCGGTAGTTTCTATACATATAATGGAAAATAGGGCGATGGAAGTCGGGGATAAATTGTTGTGCCGTTGAACATCGCCAGTTTCTTTAAAACATTTCTTTCCTTTACACTTCTGAGAAGCCTGTATGATTCATCACACCGGCAAATCTTCCCCTAGTTGAATAGTTTAAGGGTTCCATGGAGCTTGAAGAAGCTGGAGAGGGATTTTGAGACGTTGAATGCTCTGCTGCTAATGATCGAGAAACATGGCTTCGTGACTTCGAGAGTAAAGCCCACAATTGTAACTTTGAAGAGGTGGGTTTTGTTAGGGTGACAACATAAATTTGGTAGAATTTCTGGGAGAAGAGTGTTGGGAGAAGGGATAGTGAAAGAGATAGGAATAGATAAAATAGATGAATGTTGCAGTGCTTCATTATTGTCTACTGACTCGATGCGAGGGTTACACAATTACCGTATTATTGACTAGAAATAGTAAATCATGGAAATTTAGATAAATTTAAATCTATTAACAACCTCCTAAAATCTTGGTAGTTTAAATATTTGAATCATATCTCAACTACTTTAAATCATATCTTTACTTGAATTCTCAACACTCCCCCTTCATTCAAAGTTGCAGATGGCCTTCGTAAGTATGTCTGCTTTAACCCGTACAATGTCTGTCTCAGCTTGTATATCTTTGTTTCTTTGTCTTCCTTTATGAATCCCTCTGGCGGTGTTATATAAACCTCTTCTTGTAAATCTCCATAAAACTTTTCGTATGGTAGGTCAACCATATCCCATGTTCCATCTTTCTTATCAGACTGCATCTCTACTGCCATAGCTTTCTTCCCGTCTTTTTTTTCAATTGCTTCTTTATAATTCATAGGGTCTGAAACAGTAAGAGCAAATTGACATGATGCATATATGTCAGCTAAAGATTTATACTTCCTTGGAGGTGTCTCATCTAAAAGTTCTTCAAGAGAAGAATTGTTGTTCAGTGATGCTAAAGATGATGAATTTGACACACTTTGTTTTGTTGTGGATGCACTGGGAGATGCACTGGAGTTGTCCCTTGTCTCTTCATTTGGGGAAACTTCAACTGTAATTTTTTGATGCTCCTGTTCTTTACTCCAATCCCAACTCACGTTTTCATTAAATATTACATCCCTTTTAACTAAAATCTTTTCACTGATGGGGTTGTATAATTTATACGTCTTTGATTGAGTACAATAGCCAATGAAAATGCATTTTTCAGATTTTTCATCAAGCTTTTGACGAATTTGAGGATGTTTCAAAGCATAAGCAACACAACCAAAGATTCGTAAATGACTTACAGATGGTTTTCTTCCATGTTATGCTTCATAAGGAGTTCGATTCATAACCGCCTTTGTTGGTAAGATGTTTAATAGATAAACAGATGTTGCTACGGCTTCTGCCCAAAATTGGTTTGGAAGTCTCCTTGCTTGTAACATACTTCTTGCCATCTCCACAGTAGTTCGATTTTTTCGTTCAGCGATTCCATTTTGTTATGGAGTGTAGAGAGCTGTTAATTCCCTTTGGATGCCCTCTTCTTCACAAAAGAGATTGAACTCTTTAGATATGAACTCACCACCTCTGTCTGTGCGAAGAACTTTAATGTGACAGCCACTTTGGTTCTCCACCATAGCTTTAAAAATCTGGAACTTCTGAAAAGTTTATGACTTATGTTGTAGGAAGTAAATCCAGCTCATGCGACTATAGTCATCAATGAATAGTAAAAAGTGTATACTCCCGCCCAAGAACTTTGTTTGCATTGGCCCACATAAATCAGTATGAATTAGTTCTAGATAATGTGAAGCTCTTTTAGCTTTTCCAACAGGAAAAGACTTCCTAGTCTGCTTGCCATAAATGCATCCTTCACACAAATTAGTTGAATCAATTCTTGATAATTCAAAAACCATACCTTTATCCCTGAGTATTTTAAGTCCGTTCATATGAAGATGTCCATATCTGATATGCCATAATGTTGAGTCATCTTTCGTGCTAGCAGTAAGAGCGAAATCCTCCATGTTAGAAATATCCAGTGGAAACATCTTATTTGAAGTCATTACAATTTGAACTTTATGGTCTGATTTCTTATGTGTAATGACACGTGTGTTGTCATCAAATAGAACACAATGTCCTCTGGTTATCAATTGTCCAACACTCAATAAATTGTACTCTAAATCAGGTACACATTGAACATTATCTAATTGTTTTATCTTACCATGACTGGTTTCGACTTTCACTGTATCTTTTTCTTCAACTTGAATCTCTTTTGTATTTCCAAGTTGCACCTTAATTTTTTGCATCTTATCAAGCTCTTTGAATAAGGATTTGGTGCCTGTCATATGCTTCGAGCATCTGCTATCAACAAACCATAAATCATCTTTTTTCGGATTAGTATCCATGCATGCCATAAACAGCTTTTCATCTTCTTCTTCATTCTCTGCTGCAAAATTCATTTGTTGATTTTTATACCAACAATCAGATTTTGTGTGCCCATACCTTCTGCAATGGTAACATCGTATGACATTCCTTTGTTCATTGAATTGTCTCTGTCCATCACTTCTCCATCTACCCCTGTTATCACGACCACCATGGAAGCTGCGAAATCCTCCTCTTCCACGACTTTTACCTGCTAAATGAATATTTTCTCTTTCGTTGTTTTCGTTGTTGGTTGTCTCCTTCACTTGTAGTGCCTTTTCCTCGTTCCTTTCTGATGCTCTATTGATTCTTGCCTCATGAGCTTGAAGCGAGCCCATCAGTTCATCAACGGAGATATGGATAGATCCTTAGCTTCTTCTATGGTAGCCACCACATGGTCAAACTTTGGAGTTAAGCTTCTCAACACCTTTGCAACAATTGTTTTGTCTGAAATTTTCTCTCCATAGGTACGCATCTGACTGATTATTGCCATTGTTCTGGACAAAAAAATCAGCAATTGATTCGCCATTTGTCATGAGCAGAGTTTCAAAATCACATCTTAAAGATTACAATTTCACTGTTATGACTTTTGAATCTCCCTGAAACTCTTTCTGCAGAATTGACCATGCTTGTTTTGATGTGGTTGCTGCTGCAATTCGTGAAAAGATAGTCTCATGAATTGCTTGCTGAATAATGAATAGAGCCTTGGCATCGTTTTTCTTGGTTTCTCTTAGTCTCTCCTTTTCTTCTATCATGGGTTCTAATACATCAACAAACCCGTGCTCCACCAAGTCCCATAGTTCCTGCGATTTGAGCAAGGTCTTCATCTTGATGCTCCACCACTCATATTTCTCACCATTAAAGATTGGTAACAACGGTGTAGAGGAAAAAAAACCAGCTACTGCCATTTTTGTTTTGTGAAAGAAAATAATCACTCGCCCTCGTGTCAAACGAACTTGACTCTGATACCAAAATTGTTGGGAAAAGGGATAGTGAAAGAGATAGGAATAGATAGAATAGATAAAATAGATGAATGCTGCAGTGCTTTATTATTGTCTACTGACTCGATGCTTAGAAGGTTACACAATTACAGTATTTATAGCTAATACACTAGACTAGAAATAGTAAATCATGGAAATATAGATAAATTTAAATCTACTAACAATCTCCTAAGATCTCCTAAGATCTTGGTAGTTTAAATATTTGAATCATATCTCAACTAGTTTAAATCATGTCTTCATTTTGAAGACTTTGAATCATATCTCAATAAAGAGAACATTTTATTACCAGAAAATTCATATGATACAAGTAATAGAGAGGGAGACAGAGTTGCGTGTGGGAGCCACGAGGTTAAGCAGTAGATGAGACATGTAAGAAATATTTCCGCATTATACAGTAGCGACTTTAGTTTAAGTAAAAAATTTAGGGTTGTTACATCACCATGAGTCTCACAATTTTAAAACACGTTTTATGTAGTAGACAAAGGGACAATGTAACGACCTAAGCCCAGTAGATATTATTTTCTTTGGCCCGTTATGTATCGTCGTTAGCCTCACAATTTTAAAACGTGTTTTTTCTAGTAGACAGAGGATAGTGTAATAGACCAAGTCCACCGCTAGTAGATATTGTCTATTTTGGCCCGTTACGTATCACCATTAGCCTCATAATTTTAAAACATGTTTTCTCTAGTACATAGAGGGAAAGTGTATCGGCTTAAGCCCACCGCTAGTAGATATTGTCCACTTTGGCCTGTTATGTATAGTCGTCAGCATCACGATTTTAAAACACGTTTTCTCTAGTGAACAGAGGGACAGTGTAATAGCCCAAGCCCATCACTAGTAGATATTGTTCACTCCGTTACATATCGTCATCAGCCTCACAGTTTTAAAATGTGTTTGTTAGGGAGAGGTTTCCACACACTTACAAGAATGTTCGGTTCCCCTCTCTAACTGACGTAAAATAGGTATAGATAGTTGGTTTTGACCCTCGATCACACTTAAACGAAAAACTGAAGCAGAGCAAAAAAAAAAAAAAAAAATCATAAAACAGACTTTGTACTATAATACTTTAATCAGAGTACTTTTGGACTTCTAAATAAAATGTACAACCGAGGACTATTTTAAGGAGAGAAAAAGTACAGACAATTCTTCTCTTGAAAATGGTTCACAATGGCTAAATTATGTGTTAGGATGCACTTATAACATGACATGTATTATTTTAAATTGTTTATTAACATTTCAATGTATCACTGCCACATTTCATAATCCCAACATGATGCCTAGTCCTCACTTTGAGCAAGTTAGGCATATTATCTCTATAGATCAAACATATATAATAATATAATATTGTACATCTTCTTAAGTCACAGGTTATTTGTATGCTTGCATAACCGAACCAACAAAGAAGAAAAGAATGCAAAGGGTAAATCATGTCTATATGCACACAAATAAATTATAACTAGAGAAGTAATTTAGGATTGAAATGGACGTACTTGTTGGATGATGGAAGTCCGACATCGGCTAATTTAGGGAATGATCATGGGTTTATAAGTGAGGAATACTAACTCCATTGAATGAGGTCTTTTGGGGAAGCCCAAAGCAAAGCCACGAGAGCTTATGCTCAAAGTGGACAATATCATACCATTATGGAGAGTTCTGTTCGTCTAACAATACTAACACGAATAAACTTTAACAATATCAAAGAAATAACATAGAATGTTTTATACATATACCAGCCCAGAGTCGAAGGTAGAGTCAAAGTTTTATATAATATAATATATATATAAAAGATGTTTTACAACGATAAAATACATGACAATAATACAATGGCTTACGATTGACAACTAACTAAGTTTACATAATTGTCATACGTAACCAAGCTTACATAATCTATAACCTAATTGAGTAGGGACGTTACCATGTTATTATCATTTAAAGATTATTTGGAGAAAGAATATGTTTTTTTTTTTTTAATAAATTGATTTAAACAAGCTGGTAATTAAACCTAAAATAAGTAGTAAAAAATCTAATGAAATTCTTAAGGCTAAATTAATAATAATAATAATAAATCTTTAAACGGTATAATTTGTGTCGGAATGTTGTGGTTGTTTGTAAAAAAAAAAAATCAATAAAACGAAATGCATGACAAACTCAAAAACTTCAGTATATAATTGAAACTCAATTATCCATAGCGCCCAATAAATGTGTTTATTGGATCTAACCATTGTGGTCATTAAATGCTTTAATATATGTTGATATGTTTAAGGGGGTTCAGTTACATATAAAATTTGCAGTAATAAAATGGTTGGATTTTGTGAGAGGTTACAAACTATTTGATAATTTTCATAAAATTGTGCTAATGATGTTGATACCCCGTGCATCAAATTAGAAACTCACGCCCGCCGTTAACCACCGTCTATATCATCAAATGGGCAATAGAAACTTCCACAATGTCGGCACACCCTCACACATAAATATAACCTCGACCGCTCTCTCCCACTCCACAATTCAGTTCTCTTCTTGATTTGTCCATTTTGGTGAGGATAATGGAGATAGAGAAGAGAATGGAAGAAGTGAAAGACATGGGGGAGAAGGTGGAAGGCAGAGTGAATTAGTATGACACCAAATTACACGCTATCATTGTTGCTTATTTGGTTTGGGAACGTGCCTTCTTCTTCTTCTTCGGTGTCTCCAACACCAATTTTGCTTCTAACATTTCTACCCTCAGCTGTAATGGGCAGTGGTGGGTGATTGTTGCTCTAAGTTGTTTGTGCAGCTTGGTTTACATGTTGCTTCTACCGCCACCAAAATCAACTCAATCTCATTCTCCAAACACATCATCGACTCTACCCACAACTCTTGGCAATCAAAGATTCATTGATGGAGGTCGGAGATGAGGCCAGCCATGGGCTGTCGCTGGAGGAGGAATTGATGCTCATAAACTCAACTCTTGGCAATCAAAGATTTAAAGAGGTTCTATTTTATACTCTTTATTTCTTTTTTGGTGTTGTTACTTAATGTACAAAAATCATGTATAATAAAATAAAATATCTTTTACAATTCATTTCTCCTCTCAAAAAATTTTGATCCCATTTATTAGAGGTTCTTCTTCTTCGGATGAAGCTATGCATTATGTATATCACCCCACTAAAATTTTCTATAATCCTTCCCAAGAGTCCACTAATGTGGACTAATTAGTATCCACCGTAACAAAT